ATTTTTCGCATAGTTAATCAAACAGTTCAAGAATAAACCTCACAATACATATCTATTTTGTTAAGTAGAGGATGGAAAAGGGGGGTAATCTTCCCTTTTGGGGATTAGTACCATGTGTATTTGAAGATTTTTTTTGCATTTGTGACTGGGCTGTTTTCTTCATTTTTGAAGTTTTTTCATAAAAAAATGTTTGCCTTAGATATACAACGATTTTTGTAATAAAGTAGCCAAAATATAACATTAACCCCCCACCCCCCCCCCCCCCCAGAAAAAAACGGGGAAACACAGGATAGTTTGTGAGGAATTTCTGAAGCGGCCCTTCCATCGAATTAGAGAAAGATGGTTTTGTTTTCAACATTGGCTAGTTTCCCTTTTTGTTTGCTTGTTTGTTTGTTTCGTTTCGCTTATTCATTTTGCGTATGGTTTTTTGTCACAATATTTCAGGGGGTTTTGACACCATTCCCCGCCTTCGACAAAAACTCCAGGACCCTCTCTCTCTCTCTATCTCTTGGTTCTTTGAAGAGGAATGCGCTTTTTAGTTGTTTTTAGTTGTTTAGAACGAAATAAGTTGCATGGACGGCGTTTTTTAATCTTGGTATAAAAGATGGTGAGAAGTGTAGCTTCTAGTCCATCCCAGACTCTAACTCTTGTACTCATTCTCAAGGTTATGCTCCGAGAACGATCAATTTTTAGGCTGAACCTGGCTACTGACAGATAAGTTTGTTACAGCAATTTCACTAACCTTGTTTAAATTCATCATAATTTACGTGTTATGGTCACTATATTGATCTTTTTTACAAATACAGCCTATAATATATTGGTTTTATTTTAACCGATGTCTTTTTCTAATTTTTAGGCTATAAATTTTGTTAATTTTTATACTAAATTGACTTGATGGGATTTCCAGAATTTTATGCCTCTATTCATTATCATAGTTTTGTTGTTATTTATGGATGCTATGGAATTTAGAAAGTATTGTCAAAAAATAAAGTCACCATGCTTGAAAATAACTAAAGTCGTGTACTGATCAAAATGTACATATATACACGGGATGATAGGTTTATATCTCTTATTCTTGAAAAGGGAAAAATTGAAACCAAAATATAAATATAGAGATACTGATGAATCCCGTAAAACAACTTCCCAATTCAAAAAATGTTGAAACTCTGAGGTGGGGATCAATATTCAACAGGGTCAATTTTCAACTTGTTGAGGTCATAGGGGTTATGAAAAAAAAATTATCAAGCTGTTGAAAAATGACCCCGGGTATAAATTCAACGCATTTTGGTCTCAATTTTCAACGGAGAAAAAACACCCGCGGTTCAAAATTCAACGTTGAAAAATGAACCTCGGGTCAATTTTTAACTCGGGTCAATATTCAACGTTACACCGGTTCTAATCATAGTTAGCCTGTGTTGCGCTCATCTTTGTTAAGGCGTGGCATTACAGCATCAACATTGCAATCAAATCTTAAATATGGGTTTGATAAGAGTGTTTATTGTTTCTCTAAATCCAAATTATCAATGAAAATAGACCCCGATTTACAAGAAATAATGAAAAACACTATCTTAATAAACATGATTAATCGAGGGGAAAAAATTCAGCACTTGGGTTTTAAAACCCCAAGTTGTCCTTTAAGTAGATCACAAGTATCCAATGATAAAAAGGGTAGATATTCCATATACTTTTTCAAAATTTCTTTGATGAATAAAACAATATGCGTTTCTTTTCTTGTTGAGTATGTTATATTTTGTACAGTTCTATATATTTTCAGACGCAACTAAAAATGTGTTAACATTGCCTATATATCTATTCAGAAAAAAATATAATAAATTATTATGTTAAATGACAACATTTTCATAGTCGCCATTTTTCGTGCGAGTTTTTAAGGTAGTGATCACAAACGTAAAACTTTTGAAAAATAAAACTTTATTTTGATTTTTGCAAATTATTTAATATTTAGGGTAAAATCAAAGAAATTTACAATTATGGAAACTTTTTAAAGTTTCTTTTCTGACACCTGCCAGAAAATGACATAAAAAAATTAACGAAGTTCGTTTCTGAGCTTTTGAGCAGATTTATATCTTAACCTATATTTAAAAAAAATCTTCATAATGTTTTAATTTTTTTTAACAAATTTGGGTTTTGCAATGTCAATACCATATACAGTTACATGTAAAACTCCATGATTAAATCCTATATCCAAACCAAAAATATTATGTGAGGAACTATATTTTGTAGCGGAAGGTTTCTTTTTAGAAGAAAATGATCATTTTTTGCTATTTCGAAGTATTTCAAGTATGTTAATTCTAAATTCCTATTTTTACATACAGCCTGCAGCCCACAGAGTTATTTTGTGCAAAGTACACTATTATAATGGTTTTAAATTATCTTTAAAGAAACCGTCATTGATTCGATTACTGAGTAAAATATAGCCGAAAAATCATACATCCCAAGTTTTATTTTTCTTTTCTGATTATATACGATATTTTTCTCCATTTTTCTTAAATTCAGTAAAATATCATAACTTTCGAACGATTTATTTGCTTGTTAAATTTTTGATTCCAGAAAAAATGGAAATGTTTTGAATGCAAAAGGTAAGATAATTGAACATGAGGAATTGAACATCAGCAAGTTGCGGGGACCTGGGCACGACTTCGAGATATCCGGGGGTTCGAGATATCCGAAGTTATCTTCCAAAGTCGATTCAATGATTTCCCTTTTTTCTTATACATCTTCATGCATAATACTATTATTACCAAACATGTAGTCTTTACGGTAAAGATTCAAACATATTCGCAATAAATATTAAGAAAAACAATGTTGGTGTTTTCTTTATCGTGTATAATTGTAAAACAATTTAATATACATGCCTCATTTCATATACAGCGATTTTACCTTTGTATATCATTTAACTGTTTTGTTATCTACTTTTAATTTGTAAAGATAGTAGACATTACTGATTTTTCAGTCACTTATTCTACATATAGAGTCCTTTGGTGAAGAGGATCCACAGATACATGTTTCTGATCCGCTCTGCTCCACATTATGTGGAGCTGGGCGGATCAGAAACTCTTTGACTTGGGAAGATGGTATATCAGGGACATGACTGTGTACTTTAAGTAGTATATAGATCCCTGCATTGATCAATTGAAGTTCGGATACCGTATAAGTAGAATTTTTAGCGAGGATTAAATTTTGACATTATTAGCGAGGGTGCTGACATCGCTAAAATTGAATATCATTAAAAATTAATTGTGTATTATTTGTAAAAGCTTCTTTGGTTAGCATTTTAAAATCGCAAAAATTACTTCTTGCTAAAGATAAAAAGTTTTTAAGTCGAAATCGCTAAATTTGCGTCTTGCTAAAATTTCCACGTATACGGTATTTAAAAAGACCCAGTTTATCCACATTTCTACACTATTTATGTGCTTAATCAAAGGAACTAATTAAAAAAACTCAAAATAAAATGTATGAAAACAATATTTAACTTCTTATCTCTGTCACGAAGAACCACATTATAGAAAACATTTGCCAATTTAAAGGATCATCCTTTTTTTATATCCCTCTGAGTAAGCTACATGAATTAACATTTTTAACAATACACCCATAGTTAATATTCCTCTACTTTATTTCATATCTTTAAATAATAAATACATATACATGTGTGATATATATGATCTCTCTAAACAATCACATTTATCTCAGAAAAGACAGGCTTTAGGGTAACAAGGAATCCAAGTTAGAATAGGCAAAGTTTTAAAAATAATGTCATTGATTCAACTGATTACTGTTTGAATTCTTTGTCAGAAATTAATTTGTGCTCAGGTCATCGGATGTTTACAGACTGGACTCTTTCTTAATGAAACCACAAACAAAAGAAAAAAGATAGAATGAATTTCCACAGAGCAAAAAGGCACAGATTATTCCATTTTTAAAATCTTAAAAAATAATATACATGTACCTTTCACCCTTAACATTTCCATCAGGATAAGTAGCAATCTTTGATCAGTTTTTCTACACAAAAGCAAGCCACAATAAGCTTGTCCTTAGTATATCACTATAAAAATCAACACGTAAATGGTCACAATATCAAGCTACCTGCATAAAAAGACCCCCCAAATATGCTGAGTTTATTTCAAAACGAAAATAAAATCTCTTCAATGACATTTTAGTCTACTTTTTAGACGGTGGCTATATATAGCCACAGGCTATTGCTGCTGGTCTGAGTTATGAATAAACAACAGTGTAAACACACGGGGACCCTAGCGGAGATTTTTGCAAAGTCAAAATAATGAAAGTAGACTTGTTTCGATGTTTGAAAATAAAATGTGTATTTGTTATAAAACAATTGATGTCAATAAGCCTAATTTAAATAATCTGGCATTAGCTCATGAATTTTTTATAAAATAATTTTAAAGACGAATTAAGCTGATAGAGGCACAGGTTCAAATATATCTTGAACTTTTATACTAGTATTGCTCTATAGATACAGTCCCACAATATATTTAACATAAGGAATAATTCATAGCAATAAGCTGCATGCAATATAATCTTCAACTGCGCATCTTTTGACATGAAATATCTTATTCTTCTTAAAATGCCAATTCTTTCAGACATCTTTTTCAGAAGTGTTTGTTTGGCTTTTCGAGAACAATAACACCAAGTTATTTTTGACTCATCACAATTTATGACAATTAAATTTAGTCTTTGACATCTTGACAATCCTTGTATGAATCCAAGAATCACACATTGAGTTTAAGAGATACCGGTATTTATGATTATTTTTTTTAAATCAAACATATGCTGCTATGTAGAAAACAAACAATAATCCGTAATTGTACCAATTAAAAGTCCAGAAGGCTTTATTCCGAGAATCTACATTTTGTCTTCTCTAATCAGATATAAAAAAGTTTGATTCATATTTAATGTTAAAAAGCCAGAAAAAAGTTAATACTGTACAGTGCATTTAAAATAAATGCATGTAAATCTGTATGTGATTTGATTTAAACATATTTTATTGATCACAATCAAAGGAATTGGACACAAGTTATGCCAACGTAGATTGTTCTCTCCAACACAAACAAAGTAACAAAATTGTATACACATGATGTACAAGCAACAAATATACAATAATATTTTAAAAAGAAGAAGAAGGAAGAGGGTATAGAGAAATAAGAAAGGAAGGGTATGGGAATGGAAGAGAGAAGAAAGAAGGAGGGGTTGCAAAGATACCAAAGAGGAAAGAGGGACTATAGTGCAATGATAAAGTGGGCGGAAAGAATTGGGAATACATAAACAAATCAGAAAGAACCCAAAGCACAGTATGGGCATGCGAAGAAGTTAGAAGGAAGGTAGGATAAGTGTGTGTTCAACATTTATCTTGGAGATACATTTACACAGGTCCTTATGCCATCACGTGACCTTAATCCGTATCTTCAAATTTGTTTGCTAGAAATGCAGATAAAAACACAATGTTTTATTTATATTAGGTTAAGAAGGAAATAATACGAAAGCATTAGTACTCGTATATTTCAAAATGCTCATCTTTCATCCCCAAATCCATATTTTGTCTTTTCTGGAAATGTACATGCATTTGCCACATTTTTCACACCAGATTTCAAATGAGTCCAAGTTCTCTTTAATTCTTGACATTTTGTTCAGGAGATTCGAATTATGTTTTTCAACAAATTCACAGCGTTTTTCGTATAACTGGGCCTTGTCCTCTGGCGGAAGCATTTTGAAACTTTCTCGGTTCTTATAGGTATTTACAGCAACGGACTTCAGATTCTCCAGCATTCTATTGTAAAGCTCATCAAAATGGTAAACTGCAGCGATATAAAAACATTTTAAATGGAAGAAAACGTCTTTAGTTTGAGATTCTGCATCTACCAAAAGCCTCTCATGGAAATTTTTCATCAAGGCGTCCATGCCATACTCTCTTGCCAGAGGTAAGATTCTCTCTATTACAGAAACTACAACAAAAATGTCAGATTTAAAACCAGTTAAATCACTTTTAGTTTATTATTTTGAATTTATTTAAGACTTTCTGGTGACGAGGAAATGCGTTTATAATGAATCAGAATCATTCTAACTTAAGTGATATTATGTTTTGTATATATTTTATAATGCCTATTCTTATCAAATTGTAAAGTGTGACGTGGAGACCGGTCCTTCAGATGAGAAAGAAAAACCGAGGTCCCGTGTCGTAATAGGTGCTGGAACGAAAAAGATCCCTCCCTGTTCAACGGCCCTGAGTTCCGATTATAGGGTAAAAATCGTAGCTTTCCATCGGCAAGTGGCGGCGTCTCCATATGAATGAAAAATTCCCGAAAGGGTCGTTAAGAAAACATACAATCAATCAATCAATATTAATGTAGGTTATATAGGAGTTTTTTTTTTAAATTAACCTAGGCAAATTCTTGGATCTATGGTGGCTTGTCAGCTTGATGTCAACAAGTAAAGTATTTTTTAAAGAGGGCATTTGATAGATTTCATCCCATTCATAGCTTTGAAATAAAAACCCAGACTTTTAAAATATTTTGTCCACTTTACACATACACCACAAACACTGCAAATTGATAAGTAGTTCTTTCTTGACAAAATTTTTGAAAGATGTCCCAATGTTTAAATCGATGCGCAAGTTTAAGGATGAATTACGACAAAAAAATGGATATATATTCCAGTGAATCAGGTGACCTGAATCATTTAACACAACATGAAAATAATATAATATATCCAAACCGTTAAGCTCCAAATGTTCCCCTGGATAAAAACTTCGTAGAAACAGTACAAAATCTTCATATGATTTTCCTGGAAAGGTAATTCTGCTTTCGCTTTTCTCTTTGAAATCATCAGTAAACATGGCCCGGAAAACTGGAGAAGAACGCATGAGAATTACTTTTGTCACATGGATCTCTTTGTCTTCTACCATGAGAATTACGTCTGTAACTCCAGAATCCTCTCGAAAGTACTGAAGTTCAGAGGAACATTTGATTTCTTCTGCCTTGTCCGCCATTTCATCTGCTTGTTCCTGGTAGACTCTAGTTGGTTTGAGTAATTTACGGAGTGGAGTGAATTTACTGAGTGGAGTAAGTAAACAAATCTATCCCATTTATATCAATGACAACTTTAAGAAGGTTGAACAGGCGAGCGGAATGCCTACAGAACGATAACATAACTTTGGTGAAAAAATCTCAATCATAACAAAATCTCCTTTCATATTTCATCTAAAGTTAGAGTATAATTTAATTAATTAAGATATCTCCAAATTGCAAAAATCTCAAAAAGACTGAACTTATTTGTGTATGAAATAAGTAAAGGACACAACCATTGTAGAAAAGGGGTATTTTTTTCAAATCTTGACATTTATTTGGCCACAAGTTTGATAGTTTCAGACTGAGAGTTGATTACCTGCCAAATAAATGGAATTGAGCATTTGAAACCTCGGCTAGTCAAGAGGAGCAATTAGACATGTATATCTGTGAAATAGTGAATTACTCATTTCCTGGATTATTTCAGAATATGCATTGATAAAGATATAATATTAATATACTGAGCTTTAATCATAATACCGCTCCACTCCACGTCAAATTACCCCAAGCCCTATAAAATTGAACGTATTTTATGAGTTTATTTTGATGTGGTTCTGAAAATATTTATTGATTTTTAAAAAAAAAAAATTAACACAATGTATATAAGATTTATATACCCTTGAACTTCAAACTACCGCTTCAATCAATATAAAAAAAGGATATTTTTTCTTTAACAAAAACTTCCTACTTTAAATCATACCCGCATGTTGAAACAGCACGTACATGTAGACACGGCGTCAAATCCAAATCTAATCTTGCTGAGGAAATTATATATATACATTACATTTGATTTTAAAATTTGTAGGAAAAAAACATAGCAAATCTGCCCAATAAAAAATTTCTGTACTACTATGGTAAAAAGGTGTTCATTCTGCTCATTTACATATTCGCCATATTAGAGCTATAATGGCGGTGTAACGTTGATATTTGACCCGGGTTTAAAATTGACCTGGGGGTCATTTTTCAACGTTGAATATTGAGACAAAAGGTGTTGAATTAGACCCGAGTCCGTTGAAAACTGAGCCAGGTCGTGGAATTATTTTAATCATAAAACTGGTTCTAAATTCAACAGCATGAAAACACGTATTTATGACTTGGTTTTCACTGTGATTTAATTCATAGTCGTCGGGAACGTGGAAGGGAGGGGGGTAGGGATACTTAGCCCCCACCCCTACCTCCACCCCCCACCCCCCCACACACACTTTAGAAAATTTGGAATCACAATTTCTTTTTCCCAAAGTCAGTAACATCAAAATGTACAACATTTGTATACGCTAAAGAAGTATTCCTCAGGACAAATTCAAAACTATACATTTTTACATCATAGACAACTGCTTTCTCAATAAAAATGGAACTCGGAAATTTTCTATCTTGTGATAGGTCATCAACGAAATTTGCTTTCAATTGTTAAAAATTACCCTGATGCTACCTAAAAGTATCCTGAAGTTAATATTAAAAGAAAGCTGGAGTTCCTTATCGACTCCGTTTTTGCAGTCTTCGGAGACCAATTGTTCTTTAAAAACTTGGAATTTCGATTGGCACTAATTGTGCTCCTTTATTGGCCGACCTGTTTTAATATTTCTATGAAGCAGAATCAGAATATATTTTACAAAACTTTACATGAAAAGCAGAAAACACTTGCTGTTTGGTTCAACTCAACATTTAGATACATCGATGACGTATGATCAAGTAATACTTCCATTTCTATTTTTTTCTCTTTATGCATAACGGGTTTCGCCCGTTATGCAAATTATCCCATGTTTTCCACTATCGTTGATGCCCTGGCATACTATACTAACTAGACAGTGATTCCTTTAACAATAGTTACTTTCGTTCATATGTCGATTCGATATATCCCAGAGAACTTAAAGTCACCACTGAATGTGCCACAACTGTTTCATGTTTGGAAGTTTTACTGACTATGGAAGAAGAGGGCCTACTGAAACTATTTTGTATAAGAAAAAAATGATTTCTTCTTCATCTTTTCCAAAGTGAACTTTCCGTATTTGTAAAGTAATATTGCGCTATCACCTGTTTATGGAATGGCAGGTAAATCGTTGCATCATTACACTTTTTAAGGTCTTCCGTCTTCAGCGGAAGACCTTATTGTTTTTCTTAGGTTTCTTTTCCACTATTTTTCTTCTTATTATTTTTTTTCTTACCGATTTTGTGCACGCGAGTTCTCGGAAACGGATCGATGGATTTTCATGAAACTTTCAGGTCTGATAGAACATCAAAAAGTCTAAAAACAATTTTTTCATTTTGATGACGTCACTTCCGGTTCGGAGATTTTCGCGATTTTGTCATTTTTAGAGGGTCACTTTGTCCGGCAATGTTCTCAATAACCGTTGAAGATAGAGGTATGAAATTTTCAGTGATGATAGAGCAACATTCGGAGAAGTGAATTGAGTATATCTTTGTCACCGGAAGTACGAAGCGCCGACACTCTCTATGGCCCGAAAATATTACTATCAAGGATTTAAAAAATTTTGACACCTTTCCAGCGATAACTTTTTACCTAGAAATATTTTGTTTAGACAAGTGTAGAATTACACGATCTTTCAAATGATGTCAAGAAAAACGGGCTGGCCCCTAAAATGAGGGGCCAAAAGGGGCTGAATGTTTTTCCTTTATATCTCAAAAAGTATTGAGAATTTGTAATACGTCAAAGAAGCAAAGTTTTTTTTAAAATGTCAAGCTTTATCTATTGGAGTCGTAAAAATACGTCCGGCGACGTCACTTATGGTCAAACCGGAAGTAGTCACAAATTGCATATTTTTGCTGTTCGTGACAGGTTTTGGGGTAACATATGTCACTGGAAGCTTAAATCTTAACTTTCCGTCCGTCGACGGTACTTCCGGTCAAACCGGAAGTTGCCAAAAATGGCTTAATTTTGCAAAAATAAACATAGATTTGGAGGATTAAACCATTTTTGGACTTCATGACTCTTTTTTTTTATGAAAGTTACTTCCGGTCAAACAGGACGGAAGACCTACTCGTTGCTTTGCAACGAGCTCGGCTCTAGTTTGTTATTCTTATTTAAAAATTTTGTTTTTCTTTTTCTAAATCATTTCATTCCTGTTCGATAAAATATGATTCCTATTTTATAATTAAGTTGTTATTCCTGTGAGAAAAAAAAATGTTATTTCTGTTCGAGAATTCAGCACCTTTAAGTTGTTATTCTATTCGAAAATATGTGATTCCTATTTAATTTTTTTTTTGTCACTTCTATTCGATATCAAATTGATCTATATTAGACAATCATGTTAAACATGTCATTCCTATTTAATTGAGTATATAACTTGTATGCAATTATTGAAAAAGAATAAGAAAGACATAAAATTATGCAATAAGATGAGAAATTTATCAAATAGGAATCGTATTTCTTCGAATAGAAATAGATGCTTGTATGTTTTCGAACAACTTTACTGCATATAAACCAAATAATTATCGAATAAGAAAGATAAAATTATCGATAGGAATGACAAAATTAGCGAATAGGAATCGCGTGTTTTCAAATATGAATGACTTCGAAAAGGAAACGTGTTTTCAAAAAGAATGATATGATATAGGAATCATATTGTGATATTTCTTCCAATGTGAATAGCAATTAATCGAATACAAATTACAAATAAATCACATTTTATCGAATAAGAATGATACCGGTATGATTTAGAATAAAAATAATCTCATGCTCAAGGTTGCTCCAAAAACGATAAATCTTTAAGCCGAGGCAGGCTACTGACAGATAAGTTTGTTACAGGGATTTCGCCAATTTTGTTTAAAGTCAGCTTTACTAATTTACTATGGTCGGTATGTAGATCTTTTTCACAAATATAATCTATCATTGGATTCATTTTGGCCGATGTGTTTCCTTCTAATTTTTAGGCTTTTAATTTTGTTAATTTTTATACTGAATTTGATTGCAAGTAGATGGGATGTTCTGCTCACCTGATCAATGTATGTATAGGGCTCACTTTCTAGAAACCAAATTTCCAGGATCTTTGTTTTATGCCCTATTCATAGTTTTGTAGTTATTTATGGATACTATGGATTTGAGAAAGTATTGTCAAAAAATAAAGTTGTCATGTTGAAGATAACTGAAATCGTGTACTGATCAAAATGTACATATATACAAGGGATGATAGGTTTATTTCTATTATTCTTGAAAAGGAAAATAAAAGAAACCGAAAAATAAATATAGAAATACTGATAAATCCCGTAAAACAACTTCCAAGTTCAATAAAATGTTCAAACTCTGAAGTGGGGTCAATACTCAACAGGGTCAATTTTCAACTTGTTGAGGTCTTCAGGGATAAGAAAAATTATCCAGCTGTTGAAAAATGATCCCGCGTATAAATTCAACGACTTTTCGTCTCAATTTTCAACGGAGAAAAAACACCCGAGGTTCAATATTCGACGTTGAAAAATGAACCTCGGGTGAATTTTCAACTCGGGTCAATACTCAACGGCAGATTCCATAAAAGTTTATATAGAACAGTAGCCCTTTGCAAATTTTTAAAAATATACTAGCTAATTCGGATAAAGTCCTTCAGTCGATCTTTTGACTTTTATGCCTCCATAATCGAAGATTGGGTATCTTTGTCGTGTATGTATGTCTGTCTGCCTCTCTGTTTGTTCGCAAAAACTTTAACCATGCCCATATACCTTTACATTTAGTGGAGCTATGATTGTCATATTTCACATGTTTATTCCTTCTGACAAGACCTTACTTTGAGTACCACCAATTCTGACCTTGCAGTTTGACACACTTTCACACAAAAATTTCGAACTTTTACCTTATAGCCACAGGCGCTTGTTTCATAGAGTACGTTAGTTTTCTACTATATAATAACACACGTGTTATTATATACATGTAGTAGAAAACTAAGGTATTGCATGAAACAAGCGCCTGTGCTTATAGCCATAACTTTTGA